ATATTCACCTTTGAACATAGCTGTATAGATATAATTGGATTTGTTTGTAATTGTAGAGAATAGACGAGTCGCATTATCGATATCATGACATTGCACTATGAATAAAAAAAAACCATGATCGGTATTTGTAAATAGTGAGTACCATTAAGCGTTTAGTATATGATGACCTTTTTGTTGAAACTGTTGGCATACTTTTAGTGACTCAATCTTAATACTTTAATTTAAAAGAAGAATATGAAAGGAAATTATTTTGTGTAGGACAAAACAAAACAGTAAGTTTGTTGTACTGATTTGAGATATTGAAGAGCTTTGATTTGGGAATCATCCATAAAGAATGTGCAGATAAAAATTGCATTTTATGCCCTTCATGCATGTCCAGCTTCATCATTTCCTTCCCCAATTGGACATCTAGCATAAAAAAACAACTTTCTAGAAAGAGCTTGATGACTGAAATACGCTGCTGTTTTCCCTTTTATTAAATAAAAGGTTCATTGAATAAATATATCGAAAATGGAAAATAAATAAAAAAGACAAAACATACATTTCACACCCGATAAACAAAAAATATCATCTTTGACAAAGTTTTTTTTGTTTTTTAAATACATTTTATTTTAACAAGCAGAAAATAGCATATAAAAACGTGAAGTTCAATACAAATAGCAATCAAACATATAACAACGTTGATAGTACTGCTTCAGAAAATAACTAGCTGTTCATGTAGCATCATTTTCAATTATTCTAACAACGTATTCATATTCAACTGATTCATTCGATTCATTTTCTATTTAATAATGCTCTTTAAAACAAACCAAACTTCAAAATTTCGCTGAAAGTTGTGCGAAAAAAAAAGCAGAATATGCATAGTAAGTGCTTGGACATCCGGAAATGTTTGATGTCACTCTCCTCTATTCAGATTTGTCAACTTTTAATGGACCCTTCCACCTTTACCTGAACATTCTTAATAGATGACATCTTGTATAAATGAAATCTATAATTATGCAAGTCTTATGTTACACAGAAAAGGTAAAAAAATGAAAAAGGATTTTTTTTTTCCGCTAAAGATAAACGTATTCGTTCATCGGAGTATTCAGATATTCCTATTATTATACAACCATATTCTGATTGATAAAATGAATAACTTACTATAAAAGTGAATTAATGATGTTTGAATATAAGAATTATTCAATAAATTTGCTGAAAGCTTTTGTTGAATAGTAATACCACGTTTGTAATCATTCAATATTGTACATGCTTTTATTGCCATATCAATAGTAAAATTGTTACATATTTCAGCTTGTTGATCGAAAAGATCTAGAGCTTCTTTATATTGTTTGGAATCGATTAGTTTTTTCATTCTTGAGTTTAATGTTACAGATGATGAAATCGAATATTTTTTGTTGTTGTTCTGATATAATGATAAAAAACATCGAAATCGATACATCGAATAACTATTACATTTGATCAATAACATATTATAATCTAGAATAATAAAAATACCATGAAAATATGCTTATTTTCAAAAAGTATTTAAAAAAAAGTAATTGTAAAAATTCCTCTTGAAATTGATCGTTAAGAGTTAGACTCGATTTTGTTAATATGTCATTTTCATTTTCAGATCTTTTTTTCCACACATAGAGTTGAGTCATCCTCTTATATTAATTGGTACATCTAGTCGTCAATGTGATGCTGAGAACTAGAAAAAAAATATCACTAAACTGCAGTAATGCCTATCTTCTGTATTATTCTTCTGAAAACAGCAATATTGGCATTGATTTATTGATTTTTTTGTTTTTGGTTGATTCGATAGATGTAGGCACATTCGGTACACATGTTAATATCGAAATTGAGATTATATTCAATCTCTAGTTAGCTTGGACAAATCTCGAATTCAAGACTGGACGCATTCAATTTCGGATTGAAGAAGAAATTTATGTTAAAACTCGAGTTAGTTTGTAGATCGATGCCGAATTCGGATCTTTTTTCAATGGATTATGAGGAATAAAAGACATTTCAACTAATAAAATCATCATTTGATCAATTAAATTTGAATCGACAAACTAATGAACAGTTTCCACTATAGAAGTTTCTGTGCATAAACTTGTTCACAATTTCACTAATTCAAATTTAATCGATCAACTGATGATTTTATTAATTGAAATGCAACTGTTTTCTCTCAGTTCAATAATAAGAGTCTGAATTCGACATTGATCGATAGATTACTTTGAATTTTAATACAAGTCTTCCCTTCAATTCAATATTGAACGCATCCAAACTCAGATCCACGATAGGACGTAATCTCAGTGTAGACGCTAACATATATATCGATTGTCCCAAAATGTTTGCACGCTTTTTATTTTGCGTATATCTCAAAACAGATAAATGATATAACTTTGAACTTTTGTTTTAAGGATATGCCCTTGAATTTTCTACAAAACCTAACGAAAAAGATCTCATTGACTTGTTCGGATAGGTTTTTACAAGGCTAAAAGTAAATATCTACGTGATGCTGCTGTTTCTTACGATACAGAATCGTCCAAAAGTCGCTATACTGAAGAAAAAAAAAACTGAATATCTTCGCTATATGTTGAACCAAATGATTTGATTTTTTTTTTTACTACTGGTAAAGAAGTGTTTATAGATCATATTCATAAGAAAAATTTTGTCAAACACTGCTTTGAAGTATCATCGTTGACTTCAATAAAAAAAAAACATGTAACCTTTCATGAGTTATAAAAAAGCAGTACGAGTGTTTCCTTGGCCAAAAACAAACTATACATAATTTTTTTCTATTAATTCTTCAGACTATTGTCGTTTGGTCTAAAATTTATATCACTGATACATGTCTTAGTATTCATTGTATTCTGAAAGTTTCAGCCACAAACAGTGAGAAATTGTTGACAAAACTGCAATTTGTTTCTTTCCATAACTCGTGAAAGGTTATAAATTTTTTTTCTTATTGAAGTCAACAATGATACTTCAAAGCAGTGTTTGTCAATATCTTTCTTATGAATACGACTATGGACACTCATTTACCGTGCTGTTCAAGTACTTCAAGATTTAGTAGAAATTGATTTTCAATAATTGCATATTATAGAGCATAAAATTTTGAACGGAATGAGTAATTGCTATGTTTTTTACAATTTTCCCTTAAAAAGTTATAACCGTTACAAGAAACAAAAAAAAATGGTTTTTAGTCGATTTTTCATGATTTTCTGATAAATTTCACTATTTTTCCGATTTTCGTAATGGTTATAATTTTTTAAGAGAAGATGGTAAAAAACGTGGCAATTACTCATTTCGTTCAAAATTTTATGCTCTATAATATGCAAATATTGAAAATCAATTTCTACAAAACCTTGAAGTACCTGAAAAGCACGGTTTTTTTTTTAAATCTTTTCCTCGAAATGCATTCATCGAATCCCGGTATAGGATGCTTTGGATAGAGAGCTCCATTAGCTATTCAAATCACTAGTAGGATTTTAGCTAGGCACTGAGTATGTTAGAAAAAAATCAAAAATATGTTGTTCTTATAATTTTGAACAGAACTATATATATTAAATTAGCGTATAATTGGTTGTTTTCTCTGTAGTAACGAAAAAAAAGTTTATATATCAACCAGAAATGAAAATATACTGAGCAGGAGAGTATGCGGGATGCTGGTAAATGTATGGGTGTCGATGTAGGTAGATATTGTGTGTGTGTCTATGAAATATGGGTATGGATTGTAGATATGATGTGTCAGTATGGGTAATTTGTAGATGTTGGATGTGAGTGTTTCTATTCTTCATTCACACCCACTCCAAAATGAGCATCTATGAAGTTTTCACGTGTTTATTCTGGATTTTTCGAGCATCACACCTGTCTACGATTTTGTGTATATTCCTATTTATTGATTGATTTAGTGTTCGTGTTGTGTATCGACAATTATAACCATATACGTAAGAAAGAACGAAAAAGAGACGTCTTTCTCTCAGTATTTGATGCCCATATATGCGTGACTGGTTAACTATGTTTGCTGTTTTTGATAAAGTAAAGGTGTGTTTTGCTATGTATTGCTTTTTCTTCAGATGAATAAGATAAAAATATTGCAAAGACGAAATAGGACTGTTTGTGGACGAAATATTTGCGTAAGATCTGATATCGAATAATGAATATTGGGGCAAACATTTTCTTTCTCGATCTTTCCTCTATAGCATGCAGAATAGCATGAAATACATGACGCACTCTCCAATAAATAATGGTTCTTTGACGATACGAAATCAAAATGGTATAAATGCGAATATATAATTGTAGTTATTTATACTTCGAAGTTAAAGATTAGAGTTTTATTCATAATTAAAGAATTTTCATATTCTCTATGTTGATAATGTAACTGATAGTATATTCATTTTATTCTACGACGAATATTTTACTACTTGATATTATCAATATTCAATCATATAGTGCATTGAAAAGTGAGACCAGACATAGTCATTATCAACACAAGATATAAATATTGATAAAATCAGAAAATAATTGTCTCATATTCATAGGTATAATTCAAAGATGATATATCTTTATAATATTTTATATCACTTTTCTTCATTTAAGGTTAAAATCTAATATATCCCTAAACTCTAAACAACTTACGAAAGGTATACGTTTCTCGTTTTCGATATAATTTAAGTTTGAAGAATTATTTCGTATGCACTACATACTGTTATTACAATAATATTTTCCTTCGATTTCGAATACGAAATGTATTTTTATTTTTACATAGCCATGTCAGTTTGATTCTACAGATCTTTTTCATATTCATAACTGATTATAGGATCGACTACACATGATGTTATTTATCGAAAAAATCAGTTTGATATAGATCAATACTGCCCTCTACGATCGATAATTTTTTGATTGGTTTTATTTTATTCTTTGATTTAGAATAATGATTTGAATGAAACAAAAACAATCTAATCATTCTGTTTATGTCCTTTTCTTTTCTTTTCTTTTTTTGAACCATCATGATTTTTCAAATCTTTTCGTTACTATGGATTTTCATTAATCTTCATTCAAAAAATCAAGTATCTGCATCACCGGTGCTTCTTTGGAGCAATCTGTAAGTCTAAAATTTTCTTCCTAATCATTTTGATTTAATATATTTTTCTAGGAATCTCCCTCGATCAAATGTTCCTCTTGCTACACTCTCACCATTAAATCTCATATCTGATTACATCTGTCCATTAACTAATAAAAAAATTTATTTACGTATTGTTGCTGTAAACGATGTAAGTTTTACGATAAAAACAAAAAAATCATGTATTAATTTTTCTTTATCTAGCTGACTACTGAAGATTTTCAACGAAGTCTACAACATCATCATCCACTTTTATTAGATGCTAAAGTAAGATAATATTCTTCATTTATTATTTGCTAATATATTTCTTAATTCAATAGAAAAATGAAAGAAATTTTCTTTATTTTCCAAATGTTGCTAATGATGTATACAAAACATTTTCATTAATGCCACAATCAAATAATATGAAATGTTCACATATACATTTTGAATTAATATCATTAAAGATTTATGAAACATTAAATGATGGTTTGTAAAAAATTTAACAAAAAAAAAAAAAACATTCTCTTGTTTTTTTTTTTTTGTTTAAGCATTAAATCGAATACAAACAAGAATAAATAAAATTGGAACAGATTCAAATCATGCTGTTCTTATTGCACTTATAAATGGTCCAGTTAATGATCAAAAAGATATACATCACATGGTGAGACACTTTTCATAAGGGGAAAATACCAACTATAATATTACCTATTTTATCAGACAATCATTAATCTCATAAAAATTATTTTGTCTGTTTTTTTTTTTCTTTTTGCTAAAAACAATTAGTCTCGTCAACGTCGTCAAATCAATGTTGAGAAAAATGTTGTATTGAGATCAAATAATGCAACGTGTATGTTTTATGCTAAGAATTTATATTGGAATGATGTTAATGGAACATTATCATCTGGTCGTAATTATAGTCTGAATTTAAATAGAAGTTCATGTCAACCAAATATACCATCTACGAGCAATGATAGTTCAGTTATGTATGTGAAAATTTAAATAATATCTTCCTTTTTTTTATTTTTTTCGAAAAAATAATACACACATTCTGTTATTTTAGTCTAAATCTTGTTTGGACTAATGAACAAATGCCAAGCGATATTGTTACTGTAAGGTAAATCTTGATGATTATTTTTTATCCAGTCTTTTCTTATTCTCAAAAACAAAAAGCTGAAGAGAAAAAGTTTTGCCACTATATCAACAATATTAATATTCTGAATAGATAGTCCGAAAGGAAATTTAATTGACAAATTGAATAAGCATATTTAGTTTTAAAAAAAATGAACAAAACTAAATGTCAAAATAGAAATATTCATTCAGTCATTCAAAAATTTGAAGTTCATTTGCAAGAAAATACATTGTCATTGTCAAAATTATTTTTTATTTTCTAACAATCAACAATATAGTATGTATCGAAAATCACAAAGATGGACATATAGACAATAGTCAATTTCAATACTTAAAAAACAAATGAAATGTATTGATTGATATTAAATAAGCTAACATTCCATCTTTTACCATTTTCCTAGTGTTCTATTCAGTATAGAGATCGAGAAGCCGGCATTCTTTCAAGGATTAGATTAGTCCTCACGGAATTCGACGTTATTGCACCAAATGCTATATGTCTACGCTTTCAAAAATAATGTGTTAATTCCTCTGGAAGAGAAAACACTTCATTCTGTAGGGGGGCAACAAAGCTATCTCTTACCATGCGGCTCTGTCCGTGCTACATCAAACGTTTCGAATCAATACAAAAAACCATTACTGAATTCTTCTTGCTTGACATTGAGACAAATCTATTGCGTTTTATAGTTTTGTGAAATACGATATACAAGGAATTCGAACAGAAATAATGAACGAAAATTCCCTATAGTGTCATAGAGTTTGATAGATATTTCGATAGTTTAGTCTATCTAACCATCAAGGACCATATAATCAACACGTATGAAATGCTCCTTAACAAGTAAAACAGATCAATCATGTTTTATATTTTAATCCTACATGGATTACATAGAAAGCTTTTTTTCAATTTATAAGACTATAAATTTTACTATATTTTCTTGATCTTAAGTTTAACTACGACAATATTCGGACGTTTTTGGCGTTTGGAAAATGTTACTCTTAATCAAAATGAATATCGTTATTTTGTATCTGGAATGCATAGTCCAATGGAAACACCACCAACATATTGCTATGTTTGTACAACAGCAGAATTTGTTCGATATGATTCGCAGACAAGATATGGACTATATAATTTTAGTAATAAATTTTATATAAAAGATCTTCAAGTAAATGAAAATTTTTATTATTTTCTTAAATAAAAATAATTATGATTTTTTTTTTTTGTTATGTTTTAGTTTCAACCATTTCATGCTAATGGATCAACTTTTGGTCCACCGAATTATTGTACATCATTTTTTACTCGAGGTATATGGATGGCTATAACATCAAGTTTACTTTGTTTGGGTATACTATTATTTGGCATTTATCATTTAATGGGAATTAAATCAAATGATCGATTTGATGATCCAAAAGGAAAACCATTGATTATTAAAGCCCAAGAATAAACTTTCATATATATATATATATTTTTTTTCTTTCAATGTATTTTAACAAGAGATCTTTTTCTTTGCTATTTAAATAAAACTTGGTGAAGGGTTGTTTTTTTTTTCTCAAAAATTATATACTTTCTTTTTTTTTTTTTACGATAGATGCAGATTAAATTGATAATTAATGATATTGAAGACGAGAATTTAATTGATATTTCATTAGGTACAAAATAAAAAAAAAAGATTTGTTTTTATTGTTATTTTTAATTGATTTTTTTTATTTAATAAAGATTCAAGTTCAACAATTTCATCATGGTTGATTGATTATTATTTTACAAAAACTTATTTAAATCAAGTTAAAATTTCAAATAAATCTATACAACCAAATATTATAATTGGTTTACATGATATGTTTAGTATTTATCAAATAATTCAAACAACATCAACATTAAAAGAATTTTTTGAATTATGTAAAAAAAAATTTCAAAATATTAAAAATGATTTAATATTAGATAATTATAATAATTATTTAAATCGTTGTGGTTTAAATGATATTATTGATTTATTTCATCAATGTAAATTAAAATTATTTATTAGAAAAATTATTTTTAATATTAATAATATTAAAAATGAAATTGATCGATTAATTTTAAATTATTTATTAGAAATATCATTAGAACGATATATTTATGATGAAAACACACAATTATCAACTATAGAAACAAATCAAACTATACTTAAATTATTTGATAATGAGAAAAACTATGTTGAACAAACAATTACTAAAGTAAGTTGTTGATATATTGAACTACTTATGTTGTTAACATCTTCTAGAATTTTTCTATGAATTCTATTTTATATATTATTATCAAATGAAAGGAATTCGACTAACGAGAGGAGGTCACCAACTGATCAATTGCTTTTGAGTCGGAACTATGTACATCATGTAGGTCCTAATGAGCTATGAATATCCTGAAAAGAGTTCGGGCCGCTAGCTTATTACTGTCGAGATACTGCATTTTTACGATACTTTTAAGCAAAATCCCGTGGTCTCCCTCAGGAACACCAGCAAAACTGAGTTTTGAATTTCGACTTGAAATTTGGCACAGAAACAGATCTCAATGAGAGTAGCTTATTGTGAAAGTTTTAGATCTTTTGGTTGTTCCTATTCTGAAATAAGAATATTGGAACCCGTCGGGGGTATACAAGCAGTGTAAAAACACCCTTTTTAGCTGTATCGTAGAATAGGAACAACCAAAAGACCTGAAACTTTCAAAATAAACTACTCTAACTGAAGCCTGTTTCTGTGCAAAGTTTCAAGTCAAAACTCAAAACTTAGTTTTTCTGGTTCCTGAGGGGACCACAGCATTGTGCTTAATTAAAAATACCACAAAAATGCAGTATCTCGATAATAATAAGCTAGCGGCCCGAACTCTTTTCAGGGTATTCATAGCTCATTAGGGCCTACATGATGCACATAGTTCCGACTCAAAAGCGATTGATCAGTTGGTGACCTTCCCTCGTAAGTCTAAGTGTTGACTCTTCAGAATTGTAGCTATCTTTTGATATTCCTCTTCTTAATGAGTTAATTTCTTGTAACATTATAAGTACCTTTAGGTCACACACACACCGATATTAGTATATTTACATAAAAATTCTCTTAACTGAATCATGCTAACAATTTCGTTTCACTAAATTATATGATTGTACTTCGTAACTACTAGTGAAACAGATAATCCATGTTTTAAACAACAGTTAATTTCTAAATCGCTAAACTCTGCATAACTCTTTCCTATTATTCTTAAGATATTTATTCTATATAGAATTATATAAAACATACAATATGTACATATCTTGCACTTTTGTTGGATACACGCAATGAACATGCTCTTATTCATTGTCTTGCTACACCTGCACGTGTAGGAATTGAACGACGAACAATAGTTGAATTACGACGTTTATCAAAATTATCAAAAAATGAATGTTTAACTATTTATCAAATAATTCTTTCATTTCTTCGACGTAAAGATTTAATATTAAGTCGATTATCATCATCACAACAAGATTCAATAAATAATGATGATGAATCATTTATTATACTTGATAAATATTATATTGGTATAAAAGAATTTTTTGATTTTATTGAACAAATACAAATGACAATTGAAGAAAATGAACATTTAAAAATTGAATCAATGTAAATTTTTTTCTTTTTATCAAAAAATTTTCATAATTATATCCTTTTTTATTTTAGTATAACATTTCGTAAAATAATGACACTTATATCTAAACAATTACGTAAAGATAATTCATTTAGTCGATGTGATTTAATTCTTAAGGAAATTATTGAAGAATTTTGTCAATGTTTTCAAACAACACTTCCACTTATGGATTGTGCATCACCAATTCGAGTAAGACATTAAATTAGATTTTTAATGTGTCTAGTATACGAATGATATCACGATAGAATATTTGAAAGAAAGAAAAAAAATTAAATTTATTTATACTAACAAAATTTTATTATAACATAAATATAATATTTCATTTTCTTTTCCAGTAAATATTCATAAACATATTGTAATTAAAAAACACTACCTAACCTGAAAGATACTAAATAGGACATTTTCGAGAAAATTAAAATTTATTTTTTCTTGGAAAGAAAAATTTTCGTCTTGAAGTTTCAAAAGTCTTGTATATTCATAATAGAGATATCCATCGCGATGACGGCACCTTTTCTTTTTTCATCAGTTTGATACAGATATATTTTAATTTTACTCTCGAAAGCATTCCGAAAGTTAATGTCTTCAGCATTCTGGTATAAGTCAATTAACGAAACAATACCGACAATGTTTTATCTAGCACGTAGATAAGAATAGCAAAACATCTCATCTCCTTAAGATTGTTGTTACGATATTGTAAACTATTTGTCTATTCTTCGGAAGTTTCTAATTGCGCTTTTTGAAGAAAAAAAACATAAATAAAGCACGGAATAGTTCGGTGTATATAGTAAACGTAGAATAATAGGATCTATTTAAAAGAACGATAATTATGAGCAATCCGAGTCAAAATTTTGATTCTTTACATGAGTTAATTTTTTAAATAAGTTCGTCTCTCATGAATATAAAAATGTTGACTGTTTGAGCTCACATTCAAATAAAATTTATTAGCTAATTCGTTAATTAATTGACATGTGATTAACGAATAACTTACTAACTTTATGGTAGAAAAATCTAAAAATTTTAGAATCGAATTTACATCATCCATGGTGAAAACTTGAGCAAGATCGAACTGCCTTCTAAAAATCGATTTTCTTGAGGTTTCTTTATATCTCAGGATGGAGGTTTTTGATTCCAAAAGAGAGTTCATACAATTTAGAATTGATTTTTGAACTTTTCATTCAGTTATAAGAGTATTTTACAGTATCTCTAGCAAATTAACATACATTTAATAGTGAAAAATTAGTTCGAAGAAAGTTCAGAGATGTATGCATTTCTATTCTATGAAGTCACATTGCTAATGAATGAAATCTTCTGAATGCAAAAAAAGAAATACTCTCTAAAAAATAATATATTATTTAGTCTGCATCATCTGGTGGTACATTAGCTGGTCGTCGTTTTCTTCGATCTGTCGCTTATTTATGTGCTAAACAAACAATTCATTTACCAATACTTCTATCAAATAATGATCATTATGATAGTCCATCAACAGGATTACGAAAAGCAACATCTTATCGTCTTTTACAGTTTGTTTATTAAAAAATTAATCTTTTTTTTTTTTTCTTATAAACATTTTTTTTTTATTTTACAGAAGTCCATTAACACCATTACCAATTGTTATTGAACACGTTCCAGAAAAACCTATTGAAGAAAAATCAATTGATATTCCTATTGAATCTGTATTTGTATGGCAAAAAACAACCAAAAATAAAGATAATAATCAAATAGAAGAAGATTCATCGAATAAAAATCGATATCGACGACGGTAAATATTAAATAATTGAATAAAATTTTTCAATACAGTTTTCTTTTCTTTTTCGAAAATCTAGTAAATCACAACGTTGTCTTGATTTATCAATAATTCAAGAAAAAAGTTTTGATTCAGATTCAATTATAAATCATTCTTTAGATTCTAATGATAAAATTTCATCACAATCAATTTCATCTAGTTCAACACGTCAACCATTAGGAGAAATTGATATAAATTCTTTTCATAATGAAGAACGACAACAAATTGAAAATGACAATAGTAATACAAATCAACATTCAATATTATTTTCATTAGTTAGTGATAATGATAAAGAAAATTTACCAATAACAATTGTAAAACGAACAATAATAACAACAACAAATATTGAACCACCACGTAAAAAACAAAAGAAAACTAATAGCAAAGTATTAGTAGCTGGTCAAAAAATGATTACAAATTTTTTTCGATGAAAAAATTAAATTATTTCATTTTCGTATATGTATATATACTTCGAATGTCAGATATAGATTTAGATATTTAATCAATTGAATATGTACATATAAATAGGCAATTTATTTGATTAAAACTGTTTTGTGTAAAAATAAAAATGAAGAATTTTTTTTTTTCTTTGTACATCTGTTTTGATATAATGTTGAAGAATATTATTTTTTTTGTTATATTCTAAATAAAAGATTAGTTAAATTTGTCTATAAATATAACAGAAATTTCACGTTTGAAGAAACGTTTTGTATTTCAGTTCATTCGACTGATTAAAAAATTAGACTGATGCTCTTCGGAAAATCGATTTGAGTTCAGGAAGACTCAAATTGCATGAAATTTTCAATTCGATACAAAGATTTTTTCATGAGATATTCATCCAACAAGAACCAAAAACGGCTAATTGAGCAACCTAAAATTGTCTGTAGGTTTTTAATATATTTTTCTTTCATTTGAAAAAGTATGCGAGGTTGTAGAGTCTGAAAGTGTTCATTTTCTAAAATTCATAATTTTTTTTGGCCGCTAAGGGTGACAAATTCAAGGCTGCAGAAACATCTGTACTGGACTTGCCACACTTAACATTCAACAACAAATTAAGAATGTTAATCTTTGTGGAATATAAATAATGCCAATATGCAGTCTTTTAATACAAGTACCTTGTACTTTGACACATATCAATTGTGATTTAATGTTATTGCATAAATATAATCAAACATGTCGAGATAGGAATGCATCATCGAAATAAGACAAGTTCATTTTCGATATGGAATAACTGATTTTCATTAGAAAAGAATCCAGCTTTTGTAATGATATAAGATTATACGACCAGATTTCAAAGATGTTCATCGCAACTGAAAATCTGCTGCTGATATGATGTTTTTTCGAGAAATTCTTCGAAGATCTCTTCCGTTACTGTGTTAAATTCGCACAGTTAGCTTGAATCCATCAGATTCACCACGATTCTGGCTGTTAGACCTATAGATATTCAGAGAATTCAATGCTTTGTTCTGCATGGATCTCATTTCGGCATTACTTTCTATTTGACTTATTTCTCTAAAACACTAACATTGATTCAAAGATCAGTTTTTCAACTATGTATATGTGTTTTATTAAATTTCGATATTTTGATTCTCAAAATGATCGATCAAATGAATTCAGAAATATCTAGAAGTCTTAAGATTTTCAATTGATGACATAGAAACTATCGCCATTGTTGGATAGGCCACTACCATTCCAACGAATGGTTCGTCGTGAGACAGGATGACCTTTCCACTAGAAATAAAACAATTAATTAGATATAAATCAAAGACCAGCTTTTATTGTACTTACTTGATCCCAAACTTGGATGCCATTTTTGTCTTGACTGATGTATATAGCCGCATGACCCCTATATTTGCCATTGGGAAATGTAGCAATAGCCGTACCTGATGCAATATTAGCTCCGCGAACCTGTATAAAAATATATTGAATACCTTCAATTCACTCAAAATCAATCGTCGTACTCACTCTTGTGCCAGGTCTCCATTGGTGAATTGTTCGACGATCACCCGTACAAACTCTAGAATAGAAGAAATAGTCGAAGAAAAAACGACAACTCATAAAGTTATACTAACTTCACCAAGCTTACACATTCACCACAATAACCGCCTAAAACAGTTTGATGAATATATCGAGTGATTTATATCAAAATTCACTTACCAAACGGATCACAAAGAGATCGACCTGCATATTGACTCGGATTTTCACATGATATTCCTATTCGAATCAATTTAGGAGAAATTAATTTCTACTGAACAAGAATACTCACCATTAACTACGGAAATTATAGCGAATATACTGAAGACAAGACACAAAAGAATACTACTTGTTCGCATGATCGTAATCTCGAATAAGGTACTGGTTCGATTCTTTCATTCGATATATTTATACTAACATACAAAGTGCAGAATATATCGTCATGTTCGAAGGAAATGAATCATAGTCTATCGTGCATAAAATTGCGGAATTAGATTTTCGATTGATTATTTTGTAATCAAACTATTTTTTTTCGTATCGTAGATTTTATCAATCAATGTACGTAGTAGCTTGATTGTTCTTAGTTAGTCATGAAGCACTTTAGATAAGATTCAAGTTTCACTTTGTTGGGAAGAACCAACCGACATGTCTATCTGCATTTGTTGTTTTTCAAATTTCTCAATCACTGTCAATCTTCTACATGACAGAGAACAAAACATCATCACAAATTTCTTTCCCGCAACTATTTTTTCGATTGTATATCCGATGTAAGAAACGTGCTATGTATGAATAGAGGCGATCGATGAATTGTTTTCAAATATCCAAACGACTATTGATGATTGTCCTTCATCCAGCGAGAAAATGGTTTAATAAATACAAAAAAACATGAACTATTATTCATTTTTGTTTATCGAAAGTGTTAGTTCGATGAAAGTTTTAAGTGTTTCTTAATCGGATTAATGTCGATACTTACGTCGATGATATACCAATTGCTTATGCTCCATAAATATATCTAAAATTTAAATACCAAGTTGTTGAGATTGAGAAATTTTTGAAATCACACGAGCGAGTGACATCAACCATTAAATCCGAACAAAACTGCATTTGTTATTTGCCTTAGAACACGTGAAAAAGGGTTTATTTATCATCAGCTTACGTTCGCCAAGGATAAACAAGAAGACTATCCAAAAGCAATTGAACTTTTATGAGAAATCGAATGAAGCCTTTCAAAAGATTTTCCCTCTAAACCGTCCTCTTTTTTGCTACTTCTTACAATGGCATAGGTTTGACTATTTCCCGACATAGGAATCTAAAATGCTATACATGTAAATTAGCATTTAATGTGAGATTTGTTTTCTAATAGAAACAAAAAAAATCAATTAGTTCTTTTTTTTTTGCCTACTAAATCAGAGTAAATACAAGGATGAATCTAATTGACTTCTGCATTTGTTTTATTCAATAGAATCAAAGCAGAAATCTATCATATAAAAAAAAAAACGTGATCAAGTTTTCATTCAATGTTCAATTCAATTAGAGACTCATAGCGTGAACAAAAAATATAATAGAATTTTTTTTACTATGTCTCAAAATCCATGAATGCTATTAAAGTATTTTAAGTAAAATTTCATATTTAATTAACGACAAAACCAATGTCATCATGTAAGATTAGTTTGGAAATAAGATTAAGAAAAAAAAAAGATGATTATGAAATGTCTTATCATCATATCATCTTCTTGGAAATGACTACTAGTATACAGACAAAGTGAGAAAAAACATCAAATCATTATCAAATGGAGAATACACTTATGCACTTAGTAGCGCTAATTTCTGAAATACTTCGATCACTTTTTCAGAAGGATTATTTAATATCAAATTGTAGCTTGATAAAAGACAAACCGTCTCATGAAGTCAGATTTTTCGGCCTATTTTTTTTTCTCGAGAAAATTATTAATTAAGTGGACCAATAGGATACAATGAAACACAAAGGCCAATAGCAATAGGGTATGATGTTATGGTTGATATATGCACGCATTCAGAATCAAAAGAGTATCCATTAACAAAAATGAATTTCTTCTTTTTAGAGCGTTTTCGATCACTCAATACCGTTGTCTTCCTTATGTCTCCATTCGACTTCTAAAATACAGTAGATAGCAAATCCTTATATAACAGTTTTAGTAATAATCGTGTTGTTTTCTTATCAGTATTTCTAACAGCAGGGTCAACTATTGTAACAAAATAGCAAGCACTCTTGTAATGCTTAGTTGACACTATTGTACAATTTCGTTTTCATAGTTGACAAACTCGATCCTAACTTCCCGGTTTTGTAATCAATAGTGGTGTATTCGATATCATGACATGACAGTCAAAAATTAGATTCAGTGAAATGCTCTTCTGTCTTTCAAATCTTATTCATTCATACTTGATACACTTTTTTTTTCGGCGACCTATGTCAATGTTTGATACGTGTTTATTTTAGAGACAGTGCACCCATTCACAAGTAGTGTTTTATATAGAAAAAATCTTCCTTGATTGTAGTAAACTAGTGTACATTTTTATTTTATGTTGCTGTTATCTGGTTTATGAAATCTTAGATAAAAGAAGTCTTCATCGGCTACCATTAAATATTTAAAGTCGTATATTTTCTATTGGTCCTTATGTGTAAGTGCGAAGAGTAGTTGAATAAGGTTTAGCACTTTAACTATAAATTTAAATAAAAATAAAAATAAGAATTCTTTGCAATTTATGTTTCAAAAAGTTAAAGCTGCATTAAATTCCGTGACATTTTTTCTTGTAGAGAAATTATTTTTTCAAAAAAAAAGCAAACGCATATAAGGAAAGTGACCCTTTTTATGAAGAAATGTTTTTTTAAAAAAAAACAATTGTCTTTTGAAAAAAATACTATTTTGTTTTAAAATTAAAATACGACGACAATCTTGATACGTACAAGTTTTACGAGAAGAGAGCGGGAGGTCGAGGGCTAAAAAGATCAACTGAAAGCTGCTTTTGAATTCGACCAGAATTAGTAGATTACAGTGATATTTTTACAAATAGTACGGAAAAAAATGAATAAAACGCTTAAAATTCTTTTGTTAAGGAGTCAAGCTTAGGGTAATTGGGATGTGAGTCTTTCTTCCAGTAAGAAAGCTCTGATAAATTCATATGAAATAAGTCTTTTTTTAAAATCCAATTTTAATAATCAAGACTTTGCAAACTTTGTGATACTTTGTTTTAAAAACAGAGCGTTATTTTACACTTTAACGAGAAAAATTTCATTTCATTTGATTTTTTTATTTTAGATTTCTATTGGAAACTCCATTACGTGTCACCTTGTTTTTGTTTTTTATCTCTTTCTAAAAAACACATCTGGCACCATCTAAATCAAAACCACGACCATCTACATGTTTTTAAAAAAACTATGGATCGAAAATGAAGTACAATAAAACAAGCCATAATTCGTTTCATATTTTTTTCTATGATTGTATTTATTTGTTAATTTTTTGTTGATCGTAAAATTGATTTTAAAATAAATTTAACGATTAAGACGATCGTCAATACACAGAAAACAGATCTGATTCATATAAAAGAAAGTACAACAAAACAAACTTAGATGCAATAAGATAAAGTTAAAGAATTCATTTTGTGAAGCTGTCATTTTGTATTGTACTACCCTTCCATGCTGAAGCCATTAAAGACTCTTTTTTCCGATTGGTCAGATTATATCGATTATTTCTCTGGTACAATCACTTTTTTAGAAAAAACTAAAAGCACAGCTCGATAGAGAATTTTTTCTTCTATCTTCTAGTATTAACAAAAACCTCGGCTCATTTAATTTTCTAAGAGGTCGCCACACGTAGTGCATTTGATATTGATTCGCTTAAAACGCTATACTTTTTTCGTTTTTCGCTCTGTCGGCATACTATACCGGGATAGTTTAAAGTGGCGACATCATTCGTACTTATTCAATAGTATATAAGAATTTCACAATAAATTTATGTAAATAATAATAATTAAAGAATAGTTTGAATATTATCCTATGAACTTTCTTTATACTTTCATCAATTGTATAGATCTTTTTCTTCTAATTGGTTGTTTTTCATCTGTATTTCTTTGTTGAAAATCGTCTGTTTAACAATCGCTTAACTTTTTCGTTCGATATATCCTATATAGATAATTTTTTTTTAATCATATTCTAGATTGATCTAATAATATGGCGCCTCAATTTAATATTGATGATTTTGAACGATTGAGTAAAGTTGGAGAAGGTATAATGAAAAAGATAATTTCTAATTTTTTTTTTTGAATCTGTCTTTTGTTTTTATTTTTATTAATCTAAGGTACTTATGGTATTGTGTATAAAGTGTGTCATCGGCCAACATCACAAATTTATGCATTGAAAAAAATTCGATTAGAAGGTGAAGATGATGGTGTACCGGCAACAGCTATACGTGAAATATCCATATTAAAAGAACTTCGACATCAAAGTATTGTTCAGTAAGTTTAGAGAAAAAAAAATCGAATTCAAATTAATAAATTTAATTTAATTTTAAACTTTCTTTAGACTTCGTGATGTTATTCTCACTGATGCACGTCTTTATTTAATATTCGAATATTTAGCAATGGATTTAAAAAAATATTTTGATTGCTTAGGTGAAAATGAAGCTATGGATGTTGGATTAATTCGAGTATGACAAAAAGATCAGTCATTTTTTAAGTACATTTATATATATATATATTTAGAGTTATACATATCAAGTAATTGATGCATTACTTTTTTGTCATTGTCGTCGAATAATTCATCGTGATTTAAAGTAAAAACAAATAAATAAATAAATATGATATTATGTATATATAAATATATATTGTAGACCACAAAATCTTCTTGTAGATACGAAAGGTATTATTAAACTTGCTGATTTTGGTTTAGCAAGAGCATTCAGTGTACCACTTCGAATATATACACATGAAGTAAAAGAAAATTAATGTTTGTTTTTTTTTTCTTTTGAATTTATATTTATTAACTTAGGTTGTTACATTATGGTATCGAGCGCCTGAAGTTTTACTCGGTGCTTCACGCTATTCATGTCCAGGTATGTATAGAAAAATAAAAATGAGATTAATCTAAATGCTTATTCAGATATAATTTAAACAACTTTTCGATCTTCCTTGAATATCATGAGTCATTTCTTAATGAATTTGACTTTTTATAAGCATATCCACAACTCAAGGTTTATGATAGTGTGAGTCTATAGAAAAGATTTATTACAATTCATGTAAGCTTTTCTCTTCTTAGTGGAATGATAATAAAAACTAATTCGATCTGAGACTTTTTATTTTCTACAAAGAAGCAAAACTGCTTTTCTTAGTTTAAATTGCGATATGTCTTGCTTTGAAAGTAGATGCTTGAAAGACGGATTTGTATTTTTTTTGTCTTGGAAGTTCAGTTTTCATGGATGATATAATTTTCAACTGTCAATATTATCAATCTTTCCACTCACTTACACTTCTAATGTTAATCAGATATAGACAAATCCGTTTTCTTAATTTTGCTAATATAAAATTTGACTAAATTGAAATATGATGTCTATTTCTATTAGTTGATGTTTGGTCTGTTGGTTGTATATTTGCTGAAATGTATACAAAACGGCCATTATTTCAAGGTGATTCAGAAATTGATCAACTCTTTCGTATATTTCGGTAAAAGAACCATTTTATCTTGAAAAAGAAAGAAACAAAATTCATATATAAAAAAAAATTTTTTCTAGAACACTTGGTACACCAACAGATGAAACATGGCCAGGTGTTGTACAATTACCAGAATTTAAATCTTCATTTCCACGATGGAGACAAATCAATGATTTATCATCATTACTCAATGATCGAATGCGTGATGATGCTCTTGATTTACTTCTTGTTCGTTAAAAATTTTCGTTTTATTCTTTTTAATTTATTTTATTTTGTATAGAAAATGCTTGTCTATGATCCAGTAAGACGTATATCAGCCAAACAATGTCTTAATCATTCTTATTTTAAACATTTTGATTCACAAAATTTTCCAATACCGGCACCCATTGTTGTACCTGTTGTCAAAGAGGGAACCAAGTGATATTATCAATATGTTAATTATCATGTCAGATATATATATATATATTTTTTTCCTATTTGATATGTGTTCAATATTTCTCTTCCATACCAAAAGATATATTCCTTCAATTTTCTTTTTTTCTTTTGTCACGTATACATATGACGTGAAAAATAATGAATCTGTACAAAGAATGATAAACATTAAACAAAAAAAAAAAAAAACTTTCACAGAAGAAATACATATGCATTTTGTTATTATTATCAGTATTATTTCTTTTTTTTTTTCTTCTATGTTAAAATATGAATAATGAAGAAATTTAACTGTCTTCTTTCTTTTTTCATTCTTAATTTGAATCAAATAATCGATATAACTCTTATGGAAAACATATTAATGATAGAAAATGTAGTTTTAAAACAATTAACTTTTGACAAAGTATTTTTCAAGCATAGTTCATAGATATGTATTTATGATAATGTATCACATTTTTTTCTATTCCGTGATAGTATATGCTTGATCTCATGAAAATAAAAGTTAAATATCAACAATATATTTTATCATCGATAATTTATACATATATATATAACATATTTGGTTTTGTTTACCTACAGATTCGAACAATTCATGATATAAATAATCCATTGCTACGAATGTACAATCAAATTCATTCACAATTTGTATAGGAATACAATCATAAAAAGTAGAAGATGAGTGTTCTAACTTTCTATTCAACAAAATGTGTTCATTATCTGTAAAAATATTGTAATAGCATAGAACGACATTTACATATTGGATTAAACCAAGTTAATTTGAAACTCTGTTGGAAATAGTAGAGCTCATAATATTTGAGAAAGTGATATGACAAGCAAGAATGCTTAAAAAATATGGATATATCATATTACGAAAATAAAGGAGATCAATTGTTACAGTCGCATCTTCAATAAAGATGCGAACAAAAAAGAAACAACGGCCCACAATTGTTCTTTTATGATTTACCGTTACTCTATTTAACTAGTTCTTACTCAAAGGGAATAGACCATATCCACTGTATAGAAGTACTTCTTAAGTTAGTACTCTACTCTAAACAATTGACGTCAATGAAATATGATAGATTCAATTTGCTGATGAATAAGCATTCCATATTACAGTCTTTCATGGGCTGCAAGTTCAATTTTTTTTAGCATGCCATCAAATGTGACCATCAATCGATATTCTTGCCTCTAATCGCTTATACATGCTTCTTCGCTCATTTCTACAATGAAAATTTTACAGATAATATTGAACAAAAAAAACGATTTCGTTTTTTCCTAAATTTTTCTGATCTACTCGATGAATATATTTATTAAAATGGCTATGAACTTATGCTTCTTTGTTTTCTTGTTACTTTTATCGATACTTTAATCTTTTTTGTTTTATTTTCTTTCTCATGCTTGCAATCCTTATAACACCTTCCACATTGTCTAATTTACAAGATCTATTGTTTCAAATGATTGACATCAATACTAAGGCATAAAATCATATGAAATAAAACTCTTACGCTCTGACTTTTGGAACATTCCATGAATCAGACAAGAATAGAAATAGGCTTATATTGACTTATTGATTATAGTCATTTTCTTTTATTGATATGACTATCCATGTTAAACCGCAATGAAATTTTTTTCAATTTCTACAAGAATTCTTATTAATAATTCACTAGACATCATTTACATGTGTTATGGCACTTAGATGTGCTATATATATAAATATGTATTTAAAAAAAAACGTTATATGTATTATCCATATATGTTCGTTCTCGTTCTTTCGTTTCATGAGCATATAGTAACTATGTCTTTTCTTTCGTTCTGTTAGATATTTTTCCTAATGGGTTCTTTTGCTTTCTTCTTGTACTTTCGTTCTTTTCTTTGATCTAACACCTCTTGTTCGTTTTCTTCAATATCTATTGTTATTCTTTTTTTCTTCTCTCGTAAAAGTCAAGGAAACGTTTTTCTTGACCTTGAACTGAAATAATTGCGCAGTTAGTAATGAGTGACTATATATATATATAGATAGACAGAGATTTATAAAAAAAGAGGAAGTTGTGGTTTTTGATTTCAACAAAATATAACTGATAAGAAAACATATATAACATCTTAAATATAATCATATACACATCAACGTAAATAAGGACATAACAACATGGTTCTTTTAAAATTCTACGCTAGAAAAATCAAGTTTAACAAATACTTTAAAATATAATGATATAAACTAATATTTATTTATATGAATATCAATCTATTGAAAAAATCTACATAATAGAATGAAGAAATTCAAATTTATCATTGATTGCATAAGTATATTCTTGTGAATTATTATTTATTTCAAGTTTAAATAATTGATTTAACGATGAAAAAAGAGAATTTTTGAATTGATCTGAATTTGCCGTTGATGTCGTTCGGTCCGATTTGTGTGAGTTGGATTGACGTCGTTTCTTTTCGTCAAGTGATCGTCTTACCCAATGAAAAGAATAAACGATCGATGACATTCTTTTTCTTGTTTTTTTGTTATAGTTCGTTGATCGTCTGTGTATCTGTACGTTTGCTGTTCGTTTTACAAGCGTATATATATACCCTTTCGTTATTGACATTGCCAGACAATGACTGTAATCATTTATGAATCATATTGTTGAGAGCTTTCCGGCGTTTTTTTTTTGTTTTATTGCTTCAGTCGTTTATTTATGTGCTTATATAACTCATTTGAGAGATAAAAAAAAGTATTTTAAATATGCCTTAGCATATTGTATACTTAAAATTAGTAATACAATAATTGATAATTCGATTGCTTGTTCGAAAGTATGGTTTTTTGTTATCTTGATAGGTTGACAAGAGAAATATCGTAATTAATGTGTTTTTAGTGTTAGAAAAGAAAACGAATGCGGACAAGTGGGGGATATCATAGTGCGCAGAAAATTAGAAGTCAATGAATATATGACAATTAGATTAAATTATATTGCTATTTTCTTCCTTTTTTTTTTGCTTATAGTTTTATTATAACAGCTATAAAATTCTGGATGAATGTGAGAAGTACTTAAGAATAGTGCAATCAAGAAAAGTGAAGGATTTGAAAATTTGAAATTATTGTTTTTTTATATACGAAGAAAGGCTAGGTAAATCAACATTGTACTTTTTGCCCTTTCAAATACTAATCTATTTGGGAATCTTAGTTTTTTCTTTTTGAAACCACAACTTTTAGAGGATATTCTTGTGTTGAAAATAGCGATAGTGAATTTATTTCTTTCTATCAATTTGGGGACATATTTCTTCATCGTCTTGTTACTTAATCCTCCAGAACTGTAATCAGGAAGTAGCTCATATGTTATTACAAGACGTTACTGATATACGATCGTTAATCGTATATCAACAACGCCTTTGACGGAGAGGGAAGGAGTGACTTTGCTAAGGCGTCTGTCACAGCCTGTGAGAGAGAGAGCGGGTAGTAGGTGCAAATTACTACTAGTGTCCTGGACGGATATGACTTTTTGTAACTGGACCTAGACCGAAACTTTTTTTTATACCCACGCCAGGACCTTATCTAATCGACATCCGATAGATACTTTAACAGTTACAGTACGGTTTTTAAACTTTTATTTTATATGAAAAATTATATTATTTAGTTTCTTCGATAAGCAGCAACAAAAAAAAGAGATCATCTCCTTAAATTGCACAAAAAACAAGTGATTCAGAATTCACTTTATATTTCTATGTTTCTACAATCTTATTAATTTTGTTCCATATACGTTTGCTTGTTGCTGATGGCTTTAGAATGGAACGCAATGTTGATGCTAAACGTCATAATTGTCGTTACACACATGAATGCTTTTCCCATCATGATAATATATGTTCATCTTTTTGAATAATTTATTTTTATCTCCATCTATTCAGTTACTTCATCGTGTGACTCATCATCATCTGTAGATGAATTTGTATTAAAGGCAAATTTTTTTAGTAAAACAATATTGCTTTGCACTTCTGTTACCTATTCTCAAGCCCTATAAATTGTTCAATCATGATCAAACTGATTTTCATTCCGAGGATTTTATATAAATAAGCAATTTGAAAAAGCAAAAATAGTTCAAAATATCGAGGTCTCATTAATTGTTGAGTCAAGTCGGGATCTGGCATCATACTCGACACTCGTTTCATAAAAGAGGAATACGATAAGTAATCAATAATCATAAAAATTAATAGAATCGATGGAAAAATAAAGAGAGAATAAAATCTCGAAATGAAAATCTAAATGTAATCAAGATTTGGTTGAAGCACTCGCGAAGGGTGTGAGTTTGAGGATAACATTGATAATCTTTTAGCCATCTATATTCATACCCTCAAGATCTTCTTTGTTTGTATCTTTATAATCTAAACATTCTCATTATTTATATTAACAATTAAAAGTCTTTTGTTTTTAAAATCCTATCAGCAATTTGATGATTTTATTATTAAAATAAATTATATATGATTGAAATGTTCGTTTTACATAGCATAAACATTTGCAATTGTAACATCACCTTTGACTTGTAATGCTTGTACTTGTTGATATGGTAAACGATGTTGAAATGTGAACCATGCTTGACCGTTACAATTAACCTAGATAATAAAATAATAAAAACTAAATATTTCAAAAATTTAATCTTTCATTTATACTTGATAATGTTGTGGAAAACAAATTATTTGAATATCAAATTGTTGACCAGAATTTAATGGAAATCCTCCATGTTTTTCTTCGGCTCCCCATCCACCACCTTGACATGAATTACGTACTACTTCACGTTGATCAAAACGTGGATTAAAATGAAATGCAACATCAGCTCCATTATAATTTCCTGCTAATAAATTAATTTCAAATCGTGATGCATTACTATTTGCACGACCAGTAATATTTATAACACGACCTAAACATTATCAATAATTATAAATTTATTAACAAAAAAAAAATAAATAAATCTTACCAGGAAAAACATTCATAGGTACTGGAGTTTCCTATAAAAATATAATAAATTTAAAATATACAAAAAATAATATAAAAGATTCTAACCATAGCAAAACGCCATGGTTGACCATAATTGGTAGTCATGCCTGGATAAACTTGAACATTTGTTAAATTAACATCACCTTTAACAGTAACCAGTTCAGCTGCATTAAATGGCATTCGATGATGAAAATCAGCTGTATGTTGATTATTAACCGCTATCTTAAAAATTCAAAAACAGAAACAAAAAGTTTTTCATTTTATATTTATTTATGATCTTTTTTTTTTTTTTTTACTTTGAAACATTGTTCTGTAACCATAATGATAATACTAAATTGATGGCCACGTGTGATACTCAATGGTTTACGATCTTCACCTCCCCAACCACCACCGGGTGCAGCATTTAATACTAACTGACGATCACTCAAACGTGGATTGACATGTAAAACAATGTCACCACGACGATTAGCCAAATTGACTTCAAATCTTGAAAAAAATTTTTTTTTTTATCAAATAAAATATCATTTAAGATAGAATATACTTACCGATCACCAAGTGCAGTACCATAAACATGTACTTGAGTACCATAGGAAATTGGTGGTGAAATATGTGCTTCATAAGGAACAGTCTATATATAAGAGATATATCGAAATAATTAAATATATAATTTTTTAAATAAGAACTTACATATTGTTGATAATGACCAGCTTGCTAAAAGATAATAGATATATATATATGTATATAAATAGATTTAATTGAAACTCAAATATAAATTTTCTACGTACTTGACCCATTGTTAGCTAAATACTAAGTGTTGAAGAGTTGTTCGCTTTATGGTAAGTAAATGATGAAGTAACGTATAAGCAAAAATGACTTAATTTATATATAATCTAATATTTGACGATAGAGAAACAACGGAGAAGAAGATAAGACGACAGCATACTTATTCACTACTTTGAAACCTTATCTTGCCGATCAAACAGAGTAACAACAAGAAAAAAAAATATAGTTAACCATATGTAGATATTTAGTAGTCCTTCATACTAATCAACAATGTTATCAAAAAGACAACAATAGTGGCTTGAAAAAAAAAAAGAAAAGATACGATCAACAAAATAGTTTTAGTTACATTATACTTTCACAATAGAAGTGGTTTTTTTTTTATATTGTCATATCTTAGATCTTGAAAAACGAAATTATTAAATGTAAAAAAGTTTTTATACTTTTGTAAATAAGGGATTTTTGTCACAATGTATATTAATAGAATTTTGGATAAATTCCGAAAAATTAACATGTATATTCGTTGTAATATTTTTCATTTGGAATACTTTGAAATATTTAGTGTAGTCAATAACGAGTATATGTAAGAGGATGAATATCGACTCAGAGCACGATGCTTTAATGAAAAATTGTTATAATTCTATGTTTGAAAAATTAGTGAGTTTATTGTAAAAAATAACATAAAAATAGGAATTAATTATCAATAAAATTTTCAATAGTTCAAAACTATAAGTTAAAAGTTTTTTATGTAAATAGTTTTCTAGTATAAAGAATTGTCGAGCATGCTATTATCAATAAAAATAGTGCTTTTAAGATGTTGTTTAAGTATTTTATTTATTTCATTAAAAAAAAATATAAAATGAATTATTTAAATTCAATTAAATATTTTTCAAAAAGAAAATCAATCAATAATAAAACGTATGATTTTTTTTTCACAATTGACCAACACCTGTAATTGTAATATCGCCTTTATATTGAAGAGCCATAACCTAAACATACATTTTTATTGTTACAAAAAATAAATAATTCATTTTGCAATAATACTTACATAACCAGGTGGAATTTTATGATAAAATTCAGCAATAAGATGATTGTTCATATATACCTAAAGTAAACGTTTAGGGTTTTTTTTTCCTTAATAATTAAAATGAAATATTTATCTCTTACTGTATATTTATCTGGATTACATGTAATTTGTAAATCAATTTGTGTACCTGGCATTAAAGGCATATAAGATGGAAATGGTTGATTTTCTTCTTGACCCCATTGACCATTTCGTCGATGATTTTTAACAATTGTACGTACATCAAAACGTGGATTAAAATGAAAAGCAATATCATCACCATCTGTATATCCTTGTAATAAATTAAGTTCAAATCGATTTGCACCAGGAGGAATATAACCTCGTACAAAAATACGAGAACCAGTCTGTATTCTACATGATTGTATAGACGGTACACCACCACCCATCTACATTAGATTATCAAAATTAGAATTTATGAAAGAAAAAAAAAACATGAAAAGAAAATACGTACTGGAAAAGAGGGTGTTGAAACGACAGGAGGAGCTGATGGAAATCCGAAACCAGTGTTAAAACCTCCACCAAACGATGGTTGACCAAACGATGGTTGACCAAACGATGGTTGAC